TTCGTATAATACCATAACTCGCCAGTTATACTTTTGAGAGCATATAAAGCACCATTTGTGAAATTAATTTTCATTGAAGGAACATGTTTTAATATAATTAAGGAACAAAAATCATTTGACGTGTTTTTGCTATAAATATTATTTACAACTTGTTTTATAAACTAAAAACTAATACCAGAATGTGAATGTAAAAAATTAAAGTGTTATATAAACTCATTTACGCTTTTCGTACTCAACAGATGGCACTTCTGAATTGTTAGATAGTCTCGTCAACAGTGCACTGCGGTGGTGTAGCAGCAACTCTTCCCCCATCCTTGTTCCCCAAAACTCCTGGTTAACTTTAGCTTTGTCACCCCAAGTGGCATCCATCACCTGCAGCCACCCAATTTCACACATGGTCTCCACCCCCGACAGCCAGCACGTACTGTGTAGTACACAGGAGAAACAGATTTATATGTATAACCTGCCTTCAAAAAATCTAGTTAAAACATTTACTGGTTAGTATCTTGGTTACTTTATTATACAATTAGTGGAGGTAAATACAGTGTTTAACTTCACAAACCGAATTTGTCTCTAGGACTGAGGCTATTTTCTAAATTATAAGCAAAACTACAGGACATCGGAATTGTATAAATGGCACCTCTCGAGTCTATGTACTATTTCATCTTGCATTAAAATACCTTTATTGTGGTGTAGTCTGTTGCTGTTTTGTTTCATGGCAAATTAACAACTAAACTTTCAAATATGCCTAATAAACATTCTATAACTTTAAGGAACGAACTGTGTTTAGTTTCAACATTTCGTCCCTGGATACGTCCCTAATATAAACCTAATAAACACTCTATAACATTAAGGAACGAACTGTGTTTAGTTTCAACATTTCGTCCCTGGATATGTCCCTAATATAAACCTAATAAACACTCTATAACATTAAGGAACGAACTGTGTTTAGTTTCGACATTTCAATACGTGACAATTTTAATAAGTGTTTAACAGTCTGTAGTATGTATTATTTTATTTTATAAGTCAATACGTGACAATTTTAATAAGCGTTTAACAGTCTGCAGTATGTATTATTTTATGATAAGTCAATACGTGACAATTTTAATAAGTGTTTAACAGTCTGTAAGAGCGAGTTTTGGAGTATGTGTTGTCTTATGATCAGTCAGCATTTAACATTTGTAATAAGTGTTTAGAGTTTGAATTTTTATTCTGGGGTCTTTAACGATAAAAAAAAAGTTTTCAAACCCGTTTCCTGCTGAACAACGAAGCGAAACGTTGATAGGCGAGCATGTCTAACGATATCTCTTCTCCCTCGGGGGTTCTTGTTTGTTGTCCACAAACGGTCTTCTTATTCTTCGAGTGATCACTTGAAAAGCTCATTCTTTGAGGATAAGACATACTGCAATACAAGGCACTGGGCAACATTCAAATATGGCCGTATAATTCAACAGGTTCAGAAAGGAGGCTGTTGATAGCTTCTACAGAATAAATTGATTCGTTTTTGTCGATATTTATTGTTTACAGATTTAACACGGTTTCCTATGCTCAATTAAACTTCCAAAATGTTCCAGATTTTCATGCAAACCGTGTTGTATTAGAAGTAAACCTGCACCTTAGGTTTTGCGTGCTATGTCTGATAAAAACTAAAAACAAACTCTTTGAATTCAAGTTAACATTTCTCCTAATATTTTAGAAATCCAACATCCTTTATTGAAGAAATTACAGATAGTGCCATAAAGTTGTAATGAAAAGGATTCTAATCTTCATTTGTGTTTTAATTCTGTGTTGTTTCCCTTCTTAAAGGACATAAGTCGACAATCACTTGCCTACATATGACACCATCTGGACGCTACCTGGTGAGTGGTTCAGAAGATACTGATGTGATAATATGGAATGTAGAAGAAGGAAACGTAAAACAGTGTCTCAGGTATATTTAACAGTAATTTTTGCTAACAGTTATCTTAATTTCATTTTCTACTCCACTGTTTTTTTATATTGTTACATATCTTCAGTTATTGTTGGTTATAACCAGAATACTGTTGTTGCTGCTGCGGTGTTACTGTTTGTTTTATCCTGGATAGCATTGTTCCTGTTGTGTTACATGCGTCACTGTTTGTTCTGGCCAAGATAATATTGTTATTCTTTGAAAGATTGTTTAGGCAGAGTATTCATGATGAAATGTAGTTGAATGGACGACAACTTCCTGTTGTAGTAACACTAGTGTTGATGATGACGTTTTGAAAGTCTTCCGCCTTTCGTTTTTCTGGAGACTTTCGAAACGTCGTCCTCTATACTTCTGTTTCTACGACAGGCTGTTGCCGTCCATTCAATTAAATTTCAATATTGTTGTTGTTATGCTACATATGTTATTAGTTAATTTCTGTAGTGCATATTGGTGTATAGAAGAAATTTGAATACTATAAGTAAAAAAACGACCTTATAACACCAGAAACGTTGTTTTTATTTAATGCTTTGAAGCTTAGTACTGTCAGTTTCGGTTTGTGTTTTAGTGAACGCTCATGAAGAAGCTATAAAGCGAAACTTTGAGTGTTTAATTAAATAAAAACAACATTTTGGTGTTATAAGGTCGTTTTTATATTTAGTATACATATGTTATTGTGTGTTTTACTCTAGATATCATTGTTGTTATTCTGGTGTTCAATATGTTATTGTTTGTTTTATCCAGGATATCATTGTTACTGTAGAGTTAAACATGATAATGTTATTGATAATAATATCCAGCCTATCCTTGTTATTCCTGTGTTATTTCTCTTTTATTATCCATGTTGTATTTTTGTTTGTTGTAGTTGATTTGTGTTCTGGCTGTTCCTACACTTATTTTACTAATTGTGTTCTTGGCATGATTACAGCTCTTGTGTTGTTATTTTCTTTTAAGGCAAAATATATCAAATCACTAAAAAACACTGTTTTGTATTTTTAACAAAGCTGCTTTGTTTAAATTCTTTAAAAGGTCTAACTTTGATAAAGCAGTAAAAAAGAAATAATAACTTTCCCTGTAATTATGTTTTAATGGGATTGTGTTTTGTTTCAGAAAGTACTTAATAAGACAGCGTATCTTCCAGAAACTAATATGTTAGGAATTAACGTCATATTTCAAAATCGCTGGAATAGTACGTTTTAAAAGGAAATGTCGTATTGTTATTTGTGTTTTCATGTCGTACTACACATGGATTCAGTTAATAAACACAGGTTTGTTATATCATATCAAACATAATACCATACAGTTGTTATAATTATGGTACTTCGTGTTTTCATGCCGTACTGTACATGGATTCAGTTAGTAAACACAGGTTTGTTATATCATATCAAACATAATACCATACAGTTGTTATAATTATGGTACTTCGTGTTTTCATGTCGTACTACACATGGATTCAGTTAGTAAACACAGGTTTGTTATATCATATCAAACATAATACCATACAATTGTTATAATTATGGTACTTTGTGTTTT